GATATGTGTGCAAAATTTCAGCTTTGTAGCTTTGTAACCTTTCGAGATAAAAATTTATTTGAGTATAAGCACATTTCGTGCAGGCGTCCCTTTATAAATTTTTATCTTGAAAAGTTACAAAGCTACAAGGCTGAAATTTTGCACACATATCATGCACCTGGGCCAGCTTCAGATTTAGAAAAAAAGTCTATATAGCCTATATGAGTCGAATATCGGCAACTTTTCCTGGGTTAACCTTTACCCTATGGGAGATTTCTCAGTTCTGTTTTTTTTTAATGTGTAGCGGGCCCAGGTGCATATGTGTGCCAAATTTCAGGTTTGTACCTTTGTAACTTTTCAAAATAAAAATTTATTTGTGTATAAGCACATTTCGTGCAGTAGTCCCTTGTAACTAAAACAATTCTATTTTTTTCTCTAATTGTTTTTAATTCGGTTTTAAGTGTTTTTCTCGCTCCCTGGGGTCTAATTAGTAGGAAAAACCCAAAAACATGGGCCAAATCGGTTAATATGGTATAGTTACCTATTGCACGTTTTCCGTCTAAATGGCCTATAAGAGTCGAATATCGGCAACTTTTCTGGGCTAACTTTTTCCCTTTGGGAGATTTATCAGTTCTGTTTTGTTTTTAAATGTGTAGCGGGCCCAGGTGCATATGTGTGCCAAATTTCAGCTTTGTAGCTTTGTTATTCGACTCTTATAGGCCATATAGACGGAAAACGTGCAATAGGTTACTATACCATATTAACCGATTTGGCCCATGTTTTTGGGTTTTTCCTACTAATTAGACCCCAGGGAGCGAGAAAAACACTTAAAACCGAATTAAAAACAATTAGAGAAAAAAATAGAATTTTTTTATTTACAATGGAATACTGCACGAAATGTGCTTATACACAAATACATTTTTATTTTGAAAAGTTACAAATCTGAAATTTTGCACACATATTTACCTGGGCCCGCTACACATTTAGAAAAAACAAAACTGAGAAATCTCCCTTAGGGAAAAAGTTAGCCCAGGAAAAGTTTCCGATATTCGACATATAGACGGAAAAAGTGCAATAGCTAACTATACCATATAAACCGATTTGGCCCATGTTTTGGGTTTTTCCTACTAATTAGACCCCAGGGAGTCGGAAAAAACACTTAAAACCGAATTAAAAACAATTAGAGAAAAAAATAGAATTGTTTTAGTTACAAGGGACTACTGCACGAAATGTGCTTATACACAAATAAATTTTTATTTTGAAAAGTTACAAAGCTACAAGCCTGAAATTTGGCACACATATGCACCTGGGCCCGCTACACATTAAAAAAAAACAGAACTGAGAAATCTCCCATAGGGTAAAGGTTAACCCAGGAAAAGTTGCCGATATTCGACTCATATAGGCTATATAGACTTTTTTTCTAAATCTGAAGCTGGCCCAGGTGCATGATATGTGTGCAAAATTTCAGCCTTGTAGCTTTGTAACTTTTCAAGATAAAAATTTATAAAGGGACGCCTGCACGAAATGTGCTTATACTCAAATAAATTTTTATCTCGAAAGGTTACAAAGCTACAAAGCTGAAATTTTGCACACTTATGCACCTGGGCAGGCTACATATTTAGAAAAAAAACAGAACTGAGAAATCTACCATAGGAAAAAGTAGCCCAGGA